CCCATCCTCACCCTTTTGCCCCCAACCCTCACCTCCTTGTACCCCCAATATGTTTTCCCAATTAAAAAAAATATTATAAAAAAATTTATGGCCTTGGCAACCCCTGGGGCAGTTCTGCTCAGCGTGGTTTTGAGGCAGGGGTAACTTGATGGCAGCAAGCATGATATTCAAGGCACTGCTAGAGACAGAGTGGACGAGGCAGATGAGATTCCTGCCTTCAAAGCATAAACATTCTAGTGGGAGAGACAGACAATGCAGGAGAAGTGAAATAAGTGAGGGAGGTTATTTCAAACAGCAGAAGAGGCTATGAAGACTCCCCAGTACTCAGTTATCAAGACCTGCTCAAGGAAGTGGCATTTGACACATTAATGTAACAAAGAGATCAGCAGAATGTGTGAGAGTGAAGTGCCCCTGGCAGAGGAAACTGCACAGGCAAAGGGGAAACCAGACCACATGACAGGGGAACAGGAAGAAGGTCTCCAGCTTGATAGGTGCTTCAGGGAAAGGAATGGTAATGGAGACAGGGGTGGGGCTAGGGTGAGGTGAGTGAGGCTCTTTCTTGTACAGGCGGGATTTAAGTGGGCATGCTAGTTGCCTAGTGGATAGGAAATTGTTTTGCCAACCCAAAGGCAGACCTCCAGTTGCTCTGTGGAAGAAAGATGGGCAGTCTCAGTCAGTTACAACCTCTGAAAACTTACTCGAGGGTCAGCTATGGGTAATTTCTGACTCAACAACACAAACAACAAGTTCAGTAAAGGGGATCAAAACAATGTTTAATGAAATGTTTTTAAATAAAAATTAATGCAAAAAAATCCAAGATGAACAAAATATAAAATTTGTACCCTCCAGTTTTGGGTTTTTGGAGAGCTCTGGTGGCCTAGTGGTAAGAAGCTGCACTGCAATGTTAAAGGCACAAGATTCAGATCCCCCAGCTGCTTCCACAGGAGAATGATGGGCAGTCTCCTCCGGTGCCTCTGAAAACCGCCGGAGGGTCAGCTGTGAGTCAGTTCTCTCTGGTACTCAGCAACAACAGTGGGTTTTCAAAGGCAGTAAATTACATGGGAGGAGAGTGCCCGTCTGTCTCCCATGGAGCAGCTGGTGGATTCTAAACATGTACCTTGGGTTGGCAGCGCATCTTCTTATCACTAAGCCACCAGAGCTTTCATAGAAACAGACATGGTTACACCAGCCAGTTATGAACCTGTAGAACTTTGTAGTTACTGATCCAACAACATGAGAATATATTCTGTTTTGTGGTCCTGCAGTGAGGCCACTTTCACTCTGTCCCCCTCGCCCCATCCTGACTGTCTCTATCCTTCAGTAAACATATACTTTTATCTGTTGGGAGAGGGGGAGAAGGAAAAGAAAACAGTGATCTCTGAAGAGCCAAACTACCTGAGTTTCAGTTCTGGTTTTGCTCTCACATTCTTAGCTGTATGCTTTGGGGCCATTCTCTTGGCCTCTTTACTTGTCTCTCCATCAGAAAGTAATGTTAAAGTGCCTCAGAGGTATTGAGAAGATGGAGTGAAATCAAGCAAAGTATTGAGATGCCTATAGGGAGAACAGTGGAAGTCAAGAGTAGCACTGGATGGTGGTCTGGCCTTCCTTCCACCAGAGGATTCCAAGCAAGGTCAGGGTGGGCAACCTGTAGAGGTGGATTGGGAGAGGGAGACCTGGGCCCCTAGTTAGGCTATTGCAAAAATCCCAGATGAAATATAAAAAGAAGGAGATAGATTCTGGAGGTGATTAGAAGGCTGATGGCCAAGTTGGTGACCTGTGCCAGTTATGACTAGTGTCTTGTGTGTTCCAGAGGGAGCTGAAGGAACAGCTTCAGGCCCTGCAGGACAGCGAGAGGGAGCACACGGAGGCACTGCAGCTGCTCAAGCGCCAAGTGGCAGAGACCAAGGTGAGCCTGGCCTGAGCGTGGGGGTTTGGACATGGCTGGGGGCCCAACTTTACCAACCCAAACCTGGTGGGAGTAGAAGATGGGGGTGGGGCTGAGGGAGGGGCTTCAATGAAGATTAATAACTCGAGACCTGGCCCAAGGCCATGGATGGCAAAGATTTGAGATCCGTTCCTAGGTAAAGGGTAGTTCCTTTCTCCTTTCCTGCTTTGAGTAGAAGCTGGTGTTGGGGCCACTGAACCTCGCTGTCCTGATACAATCTCCTTTCCCAACCTCCACATCAAACCCATCAGCGCAGCTCACCTCTCTAACACTCTTTTTTTAAAAAAAAAATTTTTTTTTAATTTTTTAAAAATTTATTTATTTTTCATTTCAATGAACATCTACAGAGATTTTGGAATTCCATTC